CACAACCACCCACCCCACTCCGGGGGAGAAGGAAGAGTAGTGAGTGAAAACTTGGACACATTCTTGGGTGGTTTTCACAATCGAAATTGGTGGGGCAGTGCCTTCTCATGGACTTCTCTAGTTTTTCTGCAGCAATCTACTCAGAGGAAGCTTCAGAAATTTCAGTTGTGCCATCATCCTTGGATTGCAAGATTTAATAGCATAAATTACTAGACAAATATACAGGCCCCAAAGGAAGGGGAAGAAGCTCTAGAATTCATCAAAATGGGAAGGGCAAAACCTAGTATATAGCTTATGTTGTATGCACAACACCCATATTCCACTAACGTTTTCTTTCAAGAGCAATCTGAATGAGACTCATAAAATTCACTTGGGCAAGGTGACATGACCTCCTCTTCTAGTATCTGCAAGACCTCGCTCATAGATGGGCGAGCATCTGGGTTTGCATCGGTGCATCTTGCGGCAATATCTAGGACCACTTCCACAGTCTCCATATCTGCATCACTGCACCTTCCATCCACAACATCTTCCAATCGTCTTTCTCTGACAAGAGTATTCATCTGAACATACCAGAACATATGTCATATTAAATTTTTTGACTTGTAAAAGACCAAGGTACTTTTGAGTCAGATCTCCTCTGTCCTTCAAATGCAGTGAGATAACAAAGGAAAAGGCTCCAAGATCCTACACTATAAGGTCATGCGATAAAAGCAATGCAAGTAGACAGAGAAAGTCTAGTCTCTCTTTTCTGGAGGGACAGAATTGGTTTGGCATCCCCTTTATAGAAAGCAAATGAGCAAAGAAAAAAGAAAAATCATAGAGTGAAGCAGTGTTTTAAGAACTCACCCAGCCAACAATATTTAATCCCCTCTTGACGAAAGATGCGTCAGTAGGCCTCTTTCCTGTAACAAGCTCTAATAATAGAACCCCAAAACTATAAACGTCTGATTTCTCAGTTGCTCGTCCACTCTGTAGATATTCTGTTTTTCAAATAGCAAATAAGATGTAAACAAAACAGACTGATTGAAAGGTGGCAAACATAAGATTTTTGAATTGGTATTTGCAATATATTTAAGGAAACAAAACATAACAACCAGGTTAGGCTAGACATAAGGAGAGTTTGATTCTGTTATAGGATTTCTCCTGTTGACATAAATACAGAACCCAAATGGGGGCTGTGCAAGATTCTAGAAGATATAATGTGTTAAATAATTCTAAATGAAAGTTAACAACATACCTGGTGCTAAATAACCAAAAGTGCCAGCAACCACAGTGGTGACATGGTCATCCTCATCAACCAACAGTTCAGCAAGGCCAAAGTCAGAAACATGAGGCTCCAGATTTTCATCCAGGAGTATGTTACTGGATTTTATGTCACGATGAACTATCCGTGGACAACAGTCATGGTGTAAATATGCCAGTCCTCGAGCAGAACCAAGAGCAATTCTTAACCGAGAATTCCAGTTCAGAGGTTGCTTTTCTTGCCTATACTCTAGAGACAACATGGAAAAATGAATTAATAATGTTGAACGTCAATGTACTTGCTAACTATGCTGATTTGTGGTTCAAAATCTTTTGGTGTTATAAGTAGACATGATTATATTCAGTTAAAAGAATGGACATACCATGAAGGAAGTGATCTAGGCTGCCCAAGGTTACGTAATCATATATGAGAAGCTTTACAGTTGGAAGCCTGCAGTAGCCACGTAGATTGACAAGATTAATATGCTTTATGCTTCCCAAGATCTCGAGCTCTCTCTCAAAAATTTTATCAGATCCTTCACGCCTATGGTCAATCCTTTTAACAGCAAATATGCTACCATCATTCATCACCATCTTGTATACAGTGCCAAATCCCCCCGATCCCAGCACATCTTCTTCACCAAGTGACTCCAGCTTTTCTATGAGTTCACAGGAGGAATATGGAAGATCCCCATGGAATGTGATGAGCTTGGTACCTTCCAGTAGGAAATTGATTAGCTATTGATAGGCAGACGGAAAGAGAGAAAACAGGGAAATGTCAAACAGATTTCTTACCTGAATCCTGATCAGTTTGTTTATTGACTTCTGTATATTTCTTGGCAACTCTTTCTTTCTTTGAAAGTAAACATATCCAAAGGAAAGCAAGTAGTAGAACAAGTGCTAGACCCATTGCAGACATGGCACCAATAAGGATTCCATTGAGGAAATGAGGAAATCGTTTAGTAGGGACTGCAGCTAACCCAATCACCAATGGTTAAAACCAGTATTAGTCTTTAAATAACTTCATTTGTTTTTAGGTGGTTTTGGAATGAAAATAAAACATCATTTTAGTGCTACCTACATCTTACCTGGTGGTTCATCAGTATCTGCATTTGGTAGTACTGCAGGGAATCCCAATGAACTTAGACATGGCTTCTTAACTTGCTTGCCGCACAGATCTAAATTTCCAATAAACCTGTGGATAAGGAAGGTACTTGGAAGAATAAATCCAATGGGAAATCATGTTAAAGAACTTAAACATAGCAAGAGATGAAAAATAAAAACAGGGTATTACACACAAGAATGAATTATTTATAATGGGGTCCCCTACTGAAAACCATGGTAAATGCCCAGTAGCCCTACTTGTCCAATGGAAAATGAGTGTACCCTACTGGTTAGTCACCAATGGTCCAACATTGCCAAAACAGATGTAGAAGATCAGGACCATTGATCTGAAAGTCCAGGCCCCAAATATCCTAATCCTACCCCCAATTTACAAGATAACCACCCACCCAATTAGCCACATGTTCCACAATAATTTTCAGTAGAATTTCTATCTACTGAAATTTTACAAAAAAGTTAACGAGGTTTGGATGATGTAACAACCTCTAATTGGGCCCAAACATTGAAGAATGAGTTTCAATATCAGTGGTTCTGATCTGCCACATGGCAATGGATTTATCCATGTCAGACACCTAGGCATCTTAAAAAAAAACTAAATGAACTTATTATCGCCATCCAAAATCTGTATACATTTGCAGCTTATGCTCAGTTTGCACTGTAGTAAATGTACAGTGCAAATGCAAATATGTATAGTGCAAATACTGGTTTAGAAATACAAAAACAAGGCTATGTACTGTACATATTTGTATTTGCACTCCTTCCAAACTGAGCCTTATGTGCACTTTCATTTCCCCGCCGTCCAAAGAACGTGCATATGATCAAATGGCTAAGGTCTTCTTATGAGGATTGGGAGATGAAACTTGAAAAGCTCCTTTTTTTACTCATATACCAGATATCAATTGGATGATCCAATAACTATTCACAGTTATGCATGTATAATGCATCCACAAGTGGCCCCCGACATTTTCCAAGTACCAAAACTGATCAAATCAGATGACTTAATACCAAGCCCAAGGCATCTAGGATCATCACCTTTCTTGACTTAGCGTACAATATGCTTAGGAAGTGTCATAGCTATCTAAGCATATTTAAAATGGAGGAGAAGATAATAGAAGACTTACGACTTTTTACCAAAGGTGCCCAGTACTCCAAAATTTGGAATTTCTCCAGAAAAGAAATTGGTGGATAAGTTCCTGAGATGTGTAGAGCCCAATAAATACATTTTTCTGACACATTATCTAATACACTTCTACCAGTGAACAACTGAAATAAAAACGGTATAATCCAAACAGTATCAGGATACCAGTTCCATGCTTTGAACTTACAGAAAACGTAAATGTGTGAGATGGCCAATAGAAGATGGTATGGATCCCTTCAGCGAATTGCTAGATAGGTCTCTGCATTCATGTTTTGATAAATTAATATTGGACCATGACACAAGATCAAATTGATGTCTCCATTGAGTAATATGTTTACATTAACTAATGCAAGAATATAACCAAGAACATTATCTCCAAGACAATTTCATCTAAATTCATTAACTCGAATAACAGAAAACTAGTTATCTTACAATATGGTGAGATGGGAAAGATTTCCAAGTTCTGGTGGAATACTTCCTTGGAGGTAATTGGCCCTCAAGTATCTGTAGATGGTACATCAGAACAATTTATGTCACGAATGTTCCAAGTAAAACATTCAATAAAGGAGGAAACTGAGAAGGCAACTTTTTTTTTGGTTAATGGAATCAAACAAGAAGAGCTTTCTTATCTTACAGTGCTCTGAGCTCAGTACAGTTAACAATTTCAGTAGGAATTGATCCATGTAAGCTGTTCTGGTGAAGTGCCCTGATTAGCAAAAGATGAATGAATAGTAAATAAATAAAAATAATAAAAGAAGAATTAAGGCTTCTTCAGCTCTTCCTTTCCTCTTTTTCTTCTCTTTGGAAGAGAGGCTTAGAGGGCTTACAGTCTCCGCAACCTACTGAGCTTGCTAATGCTTGGTGATAGGATTCCTCCAAGTTGCATGTAGGGTAGGTTTCTGAATGACCCCATATGAGAAATCATGAGGAAAAACAAACACAGAAGAAAAATTATAAAAAAAAAAGGAGTAGAAGTGAAGACGAAAAACAAGTATAGAAGAAACAGAAACATACATTGAACTGACTCGTTGGTCATCAGGATGGCAAGAAATACCGGTCCAGTTGCATGGGTTGAAATCAGAAGCTCTCCAGTTTTTTAGGAAACTCCGACTGTCGTTGAAAGCCCCTTTGATTTCCAACAATGTTTTGCCTTAAAACACAAAGAACAAAATCAAGCATACCAAATAGGAAAAACAATCGAGAGTAGGGGGGGGGGAGGAGCAGGAAATCAACAGAGAAAAGAACAATGAGAAACAGATACACTACCATCTTCGCTCAAAGCAAGAGTACAGGTGCTTAAAAGGGTTGTTGCTGCAAGTGCCAAGATAAACCAAACCAGAAAACCCATTTTGCTTTCCCGAACCAACAGGGCTTCTTCAAGCTGGATTTCTCTGGGTGTTTCGACCAAAGTATAGAGAGAGGCAGAGAAAATGGACGGAAAACAGAGGTAAGAGTGAGAGAACAGTGACTGTAATCTGGAGAGAAAGCAGGTAGGAACTGTAATTACAGTTCTCCAATAATTAAGGTTCAAGCACGAGACTGTGAGACTGAGAGGGGAAAACTTTGCTGTCAGAGTTTCATTATTATTATCTATTTTCTTTTGTAGTTGGGTCGAGTCTTCTCACCGTATAAGAGAGTAGAGTGGAGTGGAGTGCATGGGAAGTCGTGCCATAAGAAGTAGCCGTTGTTGTCGACTGGATTTCAAAATGACTCGAGAAAACGTGGCCTCTGCAACCCGGGACTGGACTGCCGTACAGACTTGTCGGGCTCATTAAAAAACAGCGAGTACACATGGAGCTCAGAGCAGGCATGCTCGACGGGACCCACCATAAGTAGGTATATCAGACGTCTGTGATCACCTAATGAGTCAAAATCAATAAACAAGATGCTAATTGAGCTAATCCTAAGGTCATGATATCATCTAAAAATAGTACCGGTGTGTACCACATTTCATTACTGTGAGAGTGTCGTTTGTGTTGCCACTTGGCGATATGCCTTCACTGTGGAACACTTCTACAGAGTTAGGACTTAGGAGGTACCAGGGAAATCCGACAAGATGATCACTGGATCCGGATGAGAGACAATCAAGCATCTTGGCCAATGGCCACATTTCAATTCAAATTTCATAGCAGCTGTAGCACGGTATCGCCTGCCAATCACGATTGACCATCTGTCAATTCTGTATATGTGGGGAGATCGAATCAGCCCCCACAAAACTGTCCCACAGCACATCCCGGGCTGTATATTGGAAACATCTCTCTGGATGATGACATCATCATTCCAAGTATTATCATCGGATCGGAAGATATTCCTAATACATGGTGGGATGTCCTGTGGAACGTTGTGGGGGGCTGATATAGTTATTCACATTTGTCCGGGTTTGGATGAGATAGAGTTTTATATTGTAAATCGATATAAAACCTCAGTTATAGTAGTGTTTTATATTGATAATTACGTTTTTCGAAGTTCAACAGTTCAGAGATTTTAAACCGTTCAGTGTGAAACTCCATTGATGGATTTATACATCTATGAGGTTTTACACCGCATTATAAAGGCAACCATATGTATATTTGGATGTGGGTCATAAAATATAAATTTAAATACAATGTCTCATATATAATTAATATTTATTTACACATGTTACATTAATATTATATAAATCAGATAGTTGTTTTGGATTTAATTAAATTATAAAATTTAAGTTCAAATACCATATATGATATGTGTGGTTAAAAACTCTACATACACCGAAAACATGAGAATTCAACCATAGGAAATATTTCCTTATAAATTTAACACATATATACAAGAAATATTCTTTAACACACCGAAAACATGAGAATTCAAATACCATATATCGATGCCACTTCAAAATTAAAATTAAGGTTTAATTTATAGATACCCTCCCTGTACCTATAGAGTTGTGATATTTTAGCCCCCTGAACTATGTTTTGCAACAAACACTTCCCTCTCTGCCATTTTGGATCTTACCCTTGTGAACATTCCTTGAATTAAGTATAGGGTGTCTGCTCATGTGACCGTTATGTGTAGGTTTATGCATTTTTTAAACCCCAAACTACCCTTATATTATTTTTTTTAACCATTCTTTTGAACTTAGTGTGTCTAAAATACTTCCACACTCTATGAATATTGAAAATGTTGTTGAACAAGCAATTCTCTTCAAGTCCTTGAATGAATAGTTGATCTTCAAACACTATGCTTTAGAATGGGATTTTAATAAATTTTGTCATTGCTGGCTTGTTGCTATTAGCCCAAAGACTCCAGAAAAGGGTAATTAGTATATTTATCAATGTTTTCAAACCACCACTGTTGATTTAGACGGTTGAATCGTTCGACCTGTGAATCGTTCAAGCAATCGGTTCAGTTTTATCTCAAACTCGATGCCTAACAAAAAATTATTGAATTGGTCAATAATTCGTTGACCTAGGCGATTGAACCGTCAGTTTGTTCAACAGTTTTGGCTGTTTTTTATTTTAATTATTTTTTAAATTTTTTATCAAAATGGGCCATTCATTCAAACCAGACGGTTGAACCATGAACCCAAAAACCAATGTCTAGAATGATTCTGGTTCTAAGTCGTTATTTTTTTTTAAATATTGATATTTATTTTCACCGTTAACCTTTACTAATCACAGGTGCAATGTGATGAAATATAAAAGTACAGGTGTCCTCTTCAGAAAACAAGGCTTAGGGGTTAAGTGTCAAAACACCCCAAGTACAGGGTGAGTATTTGTAATTTACTTTAAAATTTATTTAAGGGTAAATTTTGATTAGGTACCTATAATTTGGGTAGTGATAGGATAGGTATTTTGAGTTTTCAGATGTAACACTAAGGCCCTGTCTGGTTTGTGGGAACAAACTGAACAAGGGTATGGAATCGGGGAGGGTTTTGTAAATTCTAGACCCTACCCGCCCCTAAACCTCCCAACTTGTACCCGCCCCAAAATCTGTAACAGGTTGGAATTTGAGAATCCAAATCCTATCCGTACATGAAAACGCAAAACCCTCCCCGACCATACCCTCGCCACATAGGGTAGGGACGGGTTGGATTAAGACATGTAGAAAACACATAAGCTATGAATTATCTTTCACATAAAATTCATAATATTATTAAATTCAACACTTGGTACATAAAATTTATATGCTTTCCAACAATATGTGGGTCGGAGAGGGTCGAGCTTAGCCTAATATTGTATCCTACCCATACCTGCACAGGTTATAGAATCCTAAAACCCATCTCCACCCCAAAACCCATCTTTGAAGCAAAAAAAAAGTTTGACAAATAAGATTTCGTTCCCAAAGAAAAGATAGGGAATGACCATTCTCTCAAATGAAAAACAAATGGGAATGAGATTCCGATTCCATCCAACCAAACAGTTGAGGTCGAAATAATCCATACCAAATCCAATTCCAGACTCCTATTTCCTAAGTTTAAGTTATGTACAGTATAGGAGGGCACGTGCAACTCTAAATTACAAAATACCAAAACTACTCCTGTCGTGTATTTTCACCTTGCTTTTTCTTCTTCGACAGTGGCAATCTTTCATGGCAACAGCGTTTCCCGGGTCGACCTTGGTTCTGTATATAAAAATGGAAGCCAGGGGGACATGAACATCTAACTTTACAAGATCCAGTGTTTTGCGTAGGTCAGTTCTATTTTATTACAGGTGAATGGAATTTGACAGAACTCTTGTGGCGTTGTACCCTCACCCAATACTCAGTAACCGCACAAAATAGCCTCCAAAAGACAACTTCGCAATAAAAAAATCAGCCTGAGAAAGGACAACCTGTGCCAAAGACAGGTGTTGTTCATAATCATCATCATCATATAAAAGCTGCTGCCTGCTGCAGAATTGGAATTCATAAGAGCAGTTTCCAATACGTTAGACCATTCCATTGGAACAAGTGAACAGCCCATCAGTATCTACTATTATAAACCGGTAATATGTTGTTGACAAGTCATCATCCGATGCTGGGCTACACAATGATGTGACAACGGAGAAGCATTGCCTGATGACTATTGTATCAATTATTCACGGGATAATCAAAGCTTTACCACAGAGAGAGTTGTTGGATTGATCAAGTAAAACGAGATTTCCAGTCAGTATGTAAAGGAGATCACATCATCCCCCACAAATTCCGTCTGCACTTGGGTTGAGGGATGGGCTATCCCTTCGAAAGAAATAAAGAAACGGACAAGTACGGATACATACGATCCAGAATTCTGAATTCCATCCCCTCTACTATTAGCCCTCTCCCCCTATAAACCACATCCTGTCCCTGAATTTGCATTCCCCCTGTACTTTGGAGTTATAAAATTCTGATCTGGATTGATTGGTCATTCTCCCAATAAAAAAATCCTAAAGCTGTAACGAATGTCGTGAGTGAGACTTTACTAATTAAGGGTGCAATAACCATTTTTGAGCGTCATCATCTCCAACAACGCTGATTGATGATGGTGTTACGTTGGATCGATGCTGCATAGAGGACGTAGAAGTAGAAACAGGTTCATTGTCCTTTCATTTGAATTTTATGGTAATTTATAAGGTAGTGGACCAATTTATAAGGTAATTTATCCTTTTATTTAATCCTCTTTTTTCATATCAATAGGAGACTTAAGCCAAGTGTTTCCAAGGAAAGGTTCTTTTGTTTAGGGGCATTTGAAGTTACCATTCAGGAATAGTCGGACGCTGAGGAAAGAAATATACAGGTGTTTTATTTTAAAAGATTTAATCATACTCCATTGTTGCTTGGGAGCAAATTGGGAAAAAGAGAAAACTGAGATCACAAGGCTTTTCAATGTAAATGTTCATTCTCGGTAATTGCATGCTTGACATCCATCAACAAAAGAAAACAAAAAAGGTCTTTAGACACCAGTATCATTATAGACAGACACCTTGAACTTGAAGTACATTGCCAGATAAAAAAGAAAGAAAGAATCATGGGATCAAATGAATTGTTACAAAAAAGAAAATTCTGTTACTCACAAAAAAAAAAAAAAGAATTTATTTTTTATGTAACGATCAGAAGATTATTTTCATAGCCGTTGTTGTGTACAATAGGTCGCAGGGGATCAACCATCCACACTCCATCCGCAATAAACTTGATCTGTAAACACCACAATTTTTACTATCATTATCTCCTAACTGGAAAAAGTGTAGAATGCTGCTACCAAATGGACTGATTGCATGGAATGATAACCCACCTCATATCTACCTGGATACAACTTCAAGCACAAAGAAAATATGCCATTGCTTGACCTCTTCATCTTTCTCTGCAAATGGCATTACAAAAGAATAAATTTAAGTGCTCCACACGAATAGTGGGTGGAGGGGGGAATTTAAAGGGAAATGGAAGAGTAAAGAAAGTGGTGGGGATGTGAGTTCACTACTCAAGTTCGATTTAAAATCCCTAACAACCAACCTTACCTCTTAACCACCCAATCCAGTTGGTTAAGACCAACTTAGTTGTAGAGAAACTAGAAATATGACAATTCTAATGATTCTGATAGAGCCCATCATGTCATGAAAGGAATCTTGCAAAACAAAACGGGCACAATTCATGGAGAAAACTCAACAAGTATAACACCAAACAAACTTTGGTTTTATTTCTAGTTAGGACAATAGCAATTGAAGCATTAAGATTCGAGGTTGCATAATTTACCCAGTGGGAGGCAAAGATGCTAGCAACCCTTTTGAACAGATCATTCAGATTGCTTCCTAGATTGCATATGCTTTGCTCAATCCTTGCCTAGGCAAGGAATATAGAGACTAGACCCGATTTTATTGTATTTTTTACCGTCTTCTCTTGTTTCTTCAGCTATATGCTGTATTGCTGTTATGCCCTGGCTCTTTTCATTGTCCTGCTATTAGACCCAGCAGGATCTCAAGAACCATTCTCTCTCATCCATTGCACTACTAACAATTCATGGATTGATTTCCATCAGCCAGGAAAGTTAGAATAAGATCCACAGAATCTAAAATTATTTAGAAATATTTCTGCTTACTAAAATCTGAAAGTCAGTTTTTTCCTGCAGAAATTTTAGTACCACTAGTTTGAAAGGTAATAACTTTTATCATCTTCTAAGGTTGAACAAGTGTTATTACTCTTATATTCCCGTTTAGGACATCAATATCTGACTATGGTGCATTAAGGTTGATCTCATCAAAGAGATATATTCTAGCTAGAACAAATACCAAAGAACTATTATTTCAGTGAGGGAACAAACCTGACTAGACCATCCATCAAAAGATCCAGCTAAAAGAACCTCTGAGGCTGAAGTGGGCCACACAACACAAGTAGTCCGGAGAAGCCATAAAGCATGTTGGGCATCATCAATTCTCTTCTGTTTCTCCTTGGCCATCTTTTGTGCTTCACTGTAAAGAGATTAGAGGCAAGGACAATGGTAAAAAATAATGGACAATGGAGAAAGCAAGCATAAAGGTGAAAGGGATCAAAATTCAGGAGATGCATACGTAATTGCCAATGCCATCTTGCCTTCCATTATTGTCAGTTTTGCACAAATTGATCGCAGTTTAGCTTGGCTATTCATATTTTCAGTTTCTTGGAACTCCCAAGCATCATAAAGCATTTGTAAATCCTCTGATGAATTTTTGTTGTCCTGTGGAAGAATGTTTAATAGGATGTTAAGAAATTACCTTTAGAATCTGGTCTCTCTTAAAAAACAATCATTACAAATTTGTCAATTTCCTTTTTCTATGCTTTGTGGGGGAGGGGGGATAGGTAGATATCTATTCTCTTTTATAAAAAAGCTACACCACTCACACATATCAACAATACAGGCAGTCAGGCACAGAGAGTAACAATGGTTGAGGTTGAAATTGATACTTCTGTTACCACCCCATGTTTAAATTAAATGCATTGACACACTTATATAACTCTCTTAATGTGTTTCAGTTAAAATGATTATTGTACAACTGGGTTTAAAAGCACAAAAACAACACCTCCTATAAAGGCCTCCATAAAAATAGTAGATTATTCTGTTCCAAGTACTTGTGAAACCCAGATAAAATCTAAAGGCTACATGTTGCCATGTTTTTCCAAGATAAAATTTACTACACTTTGGGAAGTGAAAATCAAAGTGAGATAACTAAAGAACAGCGGAGATCAGTCTAAATTTCTTAGTAATCCACAGCAGATAGATTAAAAAAAAATTATATGAACGTAAGAATCAGAACACCCACCTTAGAAAAAACAACTACATTTGACTTCAGTAAGTGGAGTATAGAAGAAAGTTCTGAATCCATTTTCAGAAGCCGAAAAAGTATCTGATTTTGTTCATTCCCTTCCTGTTCGCTTGCAAGCATCTCATTGTTCATAGAATCCGTTATCCTTTCAGTTCTACTTTCACTCGGCACAATTTCACCAGCTTCACATTACATGAAAAATAATGATGAGAAATGGTTCTTTATGTACAACAGCAACATATAAGTCAATCTAAAAGTGCCACTTCAAATTTGAATACCTTCAAATTCATCATCTGAAATTCCTGCTCGTCGAATGCTCCACCTTCTCCACATATCTGGCCTAAGTGAGTTTCTTATGCCATCGAAGTCTGAGTATGATACGTTCTCAACATGTATATCTCCATCATAACTGAATGAATCTTTACTGGTTCTCAGTGATGATCTGCTACGTCTTTCATGGCCAGCAATTGTCCCTTTACAAGTTAAGAACTTTTCGATCTAAGTTTCAGAATGTCCACTTGATTAGAAGAAATTCAAATAAATAGTTAACTAGAAAAATTCTCCTTCAACATTACAAAATATAATGATGAGTTAATGTGCACGAAAACGCATTGACAATTTGATATGTAAACAACCAGGTCCAATGATATGTTCACTTTCATTCTAAGGCTGTTTAAGTGACTCATAAAAGACTGACAATTTCCAATAAGATCGAGCAGTGAATAGATGCATTTATCTTCAATTAAAGAGGTTAAAAAGTAAAACATCTGGAAATGAATTGGAAGTGTGAGGTTAGATGTCTTGTATTCCTGGTTCTAGGAGGTTGGGGTCTTCATGGAGGCGTAAGGCCAATAAGGCCACATACTATACAAGGGGATCAGCCTTATGATTTTTGGTTCAGTTTGTTCTGTTTTAAGGTCAGAGATCAGTTGCACTCTTGTTGCATCTTTAGTGGAAACTTCGATTGCCGTCATCATCCATGGGTGCAGGCTTTCAACCCGAATCACTTAAATTCTTGTCCGGGTTGTGTATATGTTTTGACTGTTCTGTTGCCGTCATCATCGACTTAAATTCTTCTAACTTTGCTATCTTATATCCTACATGCAACATAACGAACTTATTATTGGAGAACAAAACATTATAATTTCGAAACCCAAAAACCTAGAATCCAATTTCACAACATCTCATGCCATACATTAGTATTCATAATGGAGCAAGTGAAAATAGAGGTGTGAATCTCATTGACATCCTTTAAGTCGTTTGTTCATACTATCCAACCATCAAACCCAAGGAAATATAATACTGTCTCTTGTAATCAATAAATCCAACTTACCCATATCTCCTGAGGTTTCTCGTCGAAAGTCATCTCTATCTTCCTTCTTCCACAAATGACTGCTACCATCTTTTTCCTCGGCACCAACACCAAAATACAGACTTCTCTCTTTCTCCAATCGGTTCAATATACCGTGAATTCCAGCATCCTCTCCCCCCTTCGTATTTCTGAATCAAAAAGATCGTCCCAGTTAGTTGCTCATCCAAGAAAACCAAGATTATAGAAAAAACAAAGAAACAGAGAACTAAATATGAGCTTCACATTGGTGTATCAGATGACGAAGCCGGATAAGAAGAGCTAGTAGAGGAAGAAGAAACCTCAGAACTCCCAACGTCATTGTCGCCCAGAGAATTTTTCTCGTCACTAGAAATATTATCAATCCTCTGTTGACAGAGTCTATCATCGCCAAGAACGAAATTATTATCATGTTCTTTATCGAAAACCAAATTTGAACCTAGAAATGCATCTCTTTGGACTGTCTCTTCCTCGTCATCGGCATCCCAACCATACGTAAGCCAACCGCCCTGTTTCTCGATGGCCTCCACCAAATCCATCCTGCCGGCGTCAATCAGCTCTTTCTTGGAGGGGAAAACGTCACGGTTGTCGGATTTCTGCATAAAATTCAAAATCTCATCCTCCAGAGCAGAGTCTCCTTCGCCCTCCCAACTCTTACACATCCGAACTGAACCAGAACAAGAGCTCTTCCGAAAGACAAGAACGGGAGTCGCTAAACTCATGCTCTCAAAACAAGAAACCCCAGAAGAAACGCTCTGGTTTTCGATGAGGAGACCAAGAGAAGCAGGTCGCCGTCTTCTTTGATGAATCAAGAAAGCAAAAGCGAGGGAGGGAAAGTGCGGGCGGTCCCCAACCGTAGGAAACGAGAAAACGAAGTGATTCGAAGCTGCAATTAACGAAGCCATCGTTCCCGCATTTCTTGAAGCAGATGAAGCTGAAAGGAGTGAATGTATTTTACATCAATCTGCAGAAAAAAGAAAATGAGGAAAGGGCGGAGAGAGAGAGAGCGAGCGAGCGAACGAACGAACCAACGAGACTGAATTAACTAATGAGACGGTGATCGTGTTTTGTACTTCCGTTTTTAGTTTGTGCGAGGAAGGAGGGAACGACCATTTCTGTAGCAACCGACGTGTGTATTTCTGATTGGATGAAAATAGCCCTTTCTGCATTCGACTCATCGAGCGCAACACTCACTCCTGCACTTTTCTTTGTGGATAAAAGATATGAATTTAAAACTTAAAAGTGGTTCAATTTTCGAAGGAGCCAATGGGGGATATTAGTCCGAGTGGATCTGCTCTTAACAAAATCCCACGTTCCAACGTCATCTGACACCGTACATCTCAGACATAGTGGGTTCCACCGTTCCAGTGTTATGGTAAGATGTGCGGTGTTCCATTATGTTGGAAGCGTGGTGGAACGGGTTTGACAGGGAATAGATCCCAATTCTTCTTTCCTCTTTCTCAAATCTCAACTCTTATTGGTTGCCTCTCCCGCAACCAGAATAGAACCCGAAGGAAGGAAGGAAAGCATCCATAGTTGTAGTTCTGTTAATCACTGCTAGCTGGTTGTGGGTCGTCTAGGATTTTTGTTCGTAAATAAAATACATCCTTCAACAAACAAGCTCATCATATACATATCATTGTCATGTAAGCGTTAAGTATTTTTAAATCGTTTCAAATAACATGAGATCACATCTCCGGCCCACAACGTTCACACATTCCGCCTGTGTATCGCAAACATCTTCCGAATGATACTGTACTATCATTGGGAGATGTGCTGTGAGACGTTGTGGGGCGGTGATGTGAATTCAAATAATGATGCCTATGTGGTGTATAATGATGCCTAGTTATAGAATCAAAGTATAGAAAATATTTGTTTATGGACCAGATTTGGAGTAAAATAGAACCGGTTGTTTAGATGGTTTTTGGGACTCACCATCCATGGGAGTAAATTTTGAGGTTTAATATTTGCTTTATAATGTAGTTTATTTATATAGTAAAAAAGAATTAATCAAATTGTTGGAATGCTATGGATTAGATGTATTGATAAACACTAGACCAAAAATACTAAATTAAATCAACCAATAAAGAAGGAAAAAAACCAGACAATTGCAAAAACAAGAGAAACATGAGAACTAGGGGTGTACAATCAGTTGGTTCGGTTTGATTTGGTTAGAACCAATGATCTAACCGACTATTCCATTTTACCATTTCTCTCAATTGAATCGGATCGAATTGAGTTTAAAACCGAACCGATCCTAGCTGAATTCAGTTCGGTTTTTTATTCGGTTTTAATAATTAATGAACAATTAATTGTTAGTGATGTAACCGTTTTTGGTCACGTACCATTTTTTGGGATGTGTAAAATTTTTTGGCTAAGTACCTCGTGTTTGACATGGTGTTGACGTGCTTTGGTGATGAGCTACTTGGTGGCGAACTTCCCGGGGGAGAACTGCCTGGTGGCGAACTGCCTAGTGGCGAATTGCCTGGTGGCGAACTGCTCGGTGGCGAACTGCCTGGTGGCGAACTGCCTGGTGGTGAACTTCTTGGTGGTGAGTTCCCTGGTGGCGAACTGCCTGGTGGCGAGCTCCCTGGTGGACTCATCATTTGACCTGCTCCTAGGCGGCCTACAACTCAGGGGATGGTGGAGCTCCCTGGTTCAGCGCAACCCGACTACCCTCTGCATGAGGTGATTTCCTCTCCTTTGTAGGCGGTGG